TTCAGAAAACATCCAGCTAATACTGCAAAACATTTATTCAATGTGACCCGTTACAAAATTAACGCTTCGGCAAAATAAAGAAATGTACAAATGTATATGATGACAATGAGATCGATTTCGAATAGTATGGTCGAAAACAAAATGTGCGCCTACCCTTCGTGTAGCATGAGCGACGATTTACAATTACACAAAATGCGCGGTAAATAGAGACAATAACACCGGAAAACTAAACAAAGCCTATACATAGATGGATATTTGGCAGAGCAAATGAGAAATGAACTAGATTTAGGCTTAGTCATGTATAAACGTTCTTCTGTCATAATAAATTGCGATGCACGTCATTTCTAACATATGTGTAATCATGCTGGTTCATGTCCATTGGGCTACCGTACTCATTCGTTGTTCGAACAGAACGGAAACCGTCCTGAATCGAACTTGAGCCATCTCTAAAACAAAACTTTATCCAAACATAGTTGATAGCAGTAATGATAGAATAGCTAACCCTTGTGGAAGTTTTCTAGGTGTAAAAGCACTTGATGTTGCTGGAAGCGGAATTTTCGGCGGCGAAGGTGGGTAGAACTGTGGAGGTTCTGGAGGTGAGGCTCCTCCACCGCACTCTATGGACTCCCCTGAATCATATAAAGTTAGCGAATGCTCGTAAACTTTAACCTCAACCTGCCAACCTTTATATTGTGGATGAATAGACTTGAGACATCGGCAGCAAATACAAAATGATATGCAGATACATCCAAGTAGAAGTACTACACCTCCCGAAAGCAGCAACACGAGAAAACCAGAGACGGACGCCAGAGGATCAATGTCTAAATCTGAAACTGAGTTTGTCTCAAAGCTTGCAACACCCCTTTAAGACTAGCGCATGGTAGGAAGGTCATTGCTCCGTTTTTTTGTTGTTCAAATCAAGTGAATCACAAGAAAGTCTTTAGCCCTGCTTCTTTAAATTTACTTTTGAGAAATTTTCTCAATGTAAACTCCTAAGTGCAGATGTATCCTACCTTTTCACAAGCAGCTTATGCAAGTACATAATCTCTTCGTTATACCAGAAAACT